ACCTGGAAACAGTGGTTCGTATTTTCTCAAAAATCAATAAATCGTACCATTTAAAGCTACAGTTCCATGTATGGAGTAGCTGAAGTATGAAATACTTTTCTCAAATTAGCATTGAAAGGAATAATGTATTCCGGTTCATTCTAACTTCATAGACTGGATTGTAAAACTGAGAATGAGAATTTGGATCAAGTGATGTGTTCATGTAGCATTCCTTAGGGTGTATGGCTTTTTTAACTACTTGTGGGTGGGGAGGAATCAGTTTTCCTCTGTATATGAATAAGAGCTCTGGTTTATTATAGCTTGGCTAACCAGTCAGCAAAAGCATTATAGCTATCAGGAGCTACAGTCCAGTTTATTGAATTTTTTAACTCACAAATGATGGTCTCAACTGTGTCTTTATTTCTTTCTGTATTGATCTACTTTAGATAAACATGGAAATATCTGTGTGGCTGGTTCATCAAAGATGATATTTTGAGGTAGCTGTGCAGATTAGTTACAAGTCATTTTCCAAAAGAACGAGCAGAACCTGCTTTTTAAGATGTGTGTGAAAGGCCTCCCAACAGCCTATTTAAGAAAAAAAGGGATGATAAACAAATAAAAGTATAAATAAATAAGACAAATATGGCTAGTTTCTTCACCATAGCAACTCTTGGCAACCAATATGAAAAAGAAATTAGATTATACAGGTCAGTGCAGATAATCTGAGAAGATGATTCCCACCAGGGTTTTTTAAAACACTGAAATAAAAGCAGGGGCTCCAAATAGATGCTTTCGCATTATGTTAGGCTATCATCTCCACCCAGAATGAATTAGATAATAATAGTTAATAATATTATAAGGAATCTCAAGGTAAAAATTATTTGGAATTTGGCATTATTAAGCTGGGGGAGTTTATGCGCTTCATTTGGATCTTGTCAAAAATAAATAGTGTTTATTTGAAGTTCTGAGAGATGAATAGTGCAATGTGCATAAAAGTCAATAGAAACATTCCTATTTTGAGGGAAAAACAATTGATTTTACAAACACAAGTTACTGAATGTGTCATGAATGTGTCAATCCAAAAATTACAAAAGTCATCACATTCTACTTAAATGAAGACAGAAATGGGACACAAAAAGGTACTGCTTCTGAATGAGTGTGTCTGCTTGAATTAAGCAGGCTTTCCAATAAATACTCTGCTGAGAAGCACACATACTAATTCAAAATGGAAATCCTTTAGGTTGCTAAAGGCAGCTTTTGGGATAAAGGTTTTCAAATCAGGGTTTGTGTAGAAATGCTATATTTCTACCATCTTCTTTTCCTATACCAGAGAGGGAGATGATCGTGCTGTACAGAGCAAGTCTTTCTTCTTTATCTGCATAAGCAGCTTTCATTTTGGAACTATATAGCACTAGCTGCACTAGGACTTCGGGGGAGGAGGGTGAACTGGTTTTTAAGTTGATGAGAGACTGCACACAAGCGTGTATTGTGCAGTCTCTTTCAGATTAGGAAGCATCACTGGACTGCTGCAAATCATGACTGCCAGCAATGGTAGGTGTTTTGCTTAATAAATTGTACAGAACGTGTGTTATGTGACAGATGACTGAATCTGTAATCTGAGCATGAGCAAACATTTTTTTCTCTTGATATTTAACAAATGGAATGTCATTAGTACCATTAATATGATGGGGAGAAGTTTAGACTACAACAGTAGCTTTGCAGTAGATACAGAAAGAGTATTAAAATATGAATAGCAGTGCCACTACAATAAAAAATTGGATTAATCTAATAGAGGAACAGAAATAAAAAAATCTGAAGATTACAAACTTTTAATTTAATAATTTAAAATTTAATAAGACTGTTGGCTGGTGTATATCTGAATACTTAAGTTAATATGACATTTGTTTGGGAGAAGAGATATTTAATGATGCTTTCCTAAAGCACAATTTTAGCTATATTTTTAAGGACGCAGAATAAAATTTGGAAACTGTGACATCAGCCTGCAAGAAAAGGAGAATTGGACTGCTCTGCATTTCAAGTCATGCTTTTTTCTTTTTATTAAGAAAATCAGGAAGGGAACATGTAAAATGGAGCTGCAGTGATATAAGATAATTAAGAATTTACTTACACGTAAAGCATTAATTTGCAGAGGAGATTTATAGCCTTGTCTTCCTGTTCTTTTTGGATATATTACATTTCATGGAATCTATTTATGATGCTCACTTTTAATAATAACACTACATCTCTGCTGTCTGCAATGCTTACCTATTTCTCTTTAAGGCTAGCTTGTTTGTTGAAATGGTTTCATTTTAGTCCTGTTCATGTTTGCAAATTCAGTTGTTTTTAGAAACAGAAGAGGGAATTGTATGTGTTTGGTTAATAAATGCAAGATATGAAGCAATACTGCCTATCAATTGCTTTCCTTTGAGTTCTCTTACAGAAATCTTCTTTTCCATATGATAAGATGTAAATTTCAATTTTCAATTTAATTACAATTCTTGATAATTGATAATCATTACAATTATTTTGTACTATTTACAATTCTGTGCAATAATGTTTTATTGGTTTAATGATGGCAGATGTATGCATTTAAATAATCATCTTGGACTTGAAAAAAAGGTATCATAAATACTAAGGATAATTAACAATGAAATATCTGATATATTACTCCCATGAGTGATCTTATCAAGTTCCTTGTATTTAACAAGGTGCTAATTATTATTATCAGGGCTTTTGGCAGCTTCCTGATCTGAAAATCTTTTTCAAGGGCAATTCTCATGCAAGATTTATTGAGCTGAAAGGTATCAGAATTCCAGCAAAGAAATTAGCTTTCCTGTTGGAGCCAATATATCTTCATTTAGGCAGAAACTTCCTCTTTCTCACAATATTACAATTAATGAGGAGAAAAGCGGTTCTGTTAGTTGATAATGGTAAATCTGATTATTTATATAATAGTTGGTTGAATCTTTATCAGTCTGAGAACCAATTCTTAAGATGATCTTAGGTACAGTTTCATATTTAAGTTGAGTGCTTGAGTTCCAAAGGCAAAAAAAAAAAGTACTTCAGAGTATGCGGTATACAAATGTAGCACCGCTCTACAATTCCTCAACCAAATAACTTAAAATGCTGCACATCCAGAATATTAGATACTAACTAGAACAGGGCTGCTGTTATAGGCTCATTGTTATAGGATCATTTGCATTCTTCTGACAAGCAAACTCAACGGAGAAGCTAGATTCACTTAACTGTTATTAACTTAACTGCAGTGATTCACTTAATAAGTGTAGCAAGAAAGGTCATAATATGAGGCAAAACTCATTAGCTTACTTAGCAGCAAAAATGTTTGGCTCAATTGTGGTCATAAGTCAAAGACTACCTGTACACAGTTCAGCATGGGCTACTTTCTTCCACTGCTTCCAAATGTTTCAATTAAAATTTTACAAAACACATAAAAGCTAACATTAAGGTAATAAACAGTGAAAGGGAAGGAGGAAGGCTACTTTGTGGTACTGTCTACCAGTGTCTTTCTGCAGAAAATTAAGCGGACAATGTAGGAATAGTAACCCTATTTTTTCTGTCTAGAGACAGACAGAATGATGTAGGTGAGCATTCAAGCAATAGGCGTGGGTACCCACCTCAGTGGCCCAGATAATATGTATGGAAAGCCCCTTGGACCTAGTATGCCCCAGTTGTGCATTCCAGATACAGATAAGTGGCAGCTTTAGGTTTATTTGTGCTGAAGGTCCTTCATTTTCATGGAAGGCTTGGAAAGTAGGTCTCTTTATTAGAGTAGCTTGACACTAACATAGTTAATTTGTTTATCCATAGACATCAGGCATAGGGGAATAGTAAGAAGAAACAAAAGAGAAAAATACTGCTGTACCTCACCAGTTGATTAATCGATATTTGCCTGCAGGAATTTAAACTGACATTTCACTTACACACGCACGCCATGCCCACAATTAAAATGGTTTAATAACATTTTAAGAACACAAGGCTTCCTTTCATCTTCATGTGATGATCCTCTATAGAGTTCTTATACACTAATTAGTGTACATTTTGCTAAGTCTGACCGTTTAGCTACAGCAGGGGTGTCAAACTCGATTTCATTGAGGGCTGTATCAGGGTTGTGTTTGGCCTAGGGGGGCCAGGGTGGGCATAGCCAGCTTGACGTCACTCATGTTGGGTTAGGGCCTGTGGTTGCCCGAGCGCTCTGTCAGCTAAAACAGGCTCCCGAGCTCTGTTTTCGGCTGCAACGGCCTCCTGCAAACCTCTGCCAGTAAAAATGGAGCTCAGGAGAGCCACACATCCCCCCCCCCAGCTCTGTTTTTGCTAGCAGAAGCACTGTGAGCTGGTCCTTCGCTGTTTCCAGGGTAGCTCCTTGGGCCAGATCTAAACACCCTGTGGCCCAGATCCGGCCCCAGGGCCTTGAGTTTGACACCCCTGGGCTAGTATCTCTATAGGTATCCTGCTCTGTCAATTAAGCAAAGATCAATTCATTGTTCTTCTCAGTATTTGTGGATTTATAAATTCCTAATATTTTGGATAAAACGATATATCTTTGGGTTTCCTATGTTCATTGTAGTATGTCTACAGAATAACTCTTTTTAGAATTTTTAGAGTTTTTGGTGTTTTTTTACTCAGTGGCTCTATATTGAGATTTGGAGCAGATCTCCATTCTATAATAAATAGTAGAGTACTGTTTTGAGTTACACAAGAAGTGCTTTCTACGCCTGACATTTTTGGCTACTGAAAGAATTAATTATAGCTGTCTACATCCATATATATATATATATGTGTGTGTGTGTGTGTGTGTGTGTGTGTGTGTGTGTGTGTATTCTTTCATTCATTCATTCGTTCATTCGTTGCATTGTGCCATGTGAATATGTACTTTACTGGTCTGAAGATAGATGTGTATAATACGGCTATGCAAAACTTTGAAATAATGCTTCAGTTCAGTGATGCAGAAGACACCCATTACATTTGATTTGCAAAGTAACAGTAGTCTTTTTGCTTCTTAGTTCAAAGCAGAACAACCACATTGCTTCACTTTGCTCTGGTTCAGTATTCTTCTCAAGTTTGTCTTGGCACTACAAGAGAAGACTGAGAGGAATCCCAGTTTTAGGGGGCTTGAGTATCCCAAAGGCATGTTGGAGGTATTTAACTTAAAAGTTTATTGGGGAGTCACTTCACTCAGTAAGTTCTGTTAAAAGGCTTTCACCTGAAGTGAAATTATTCACTAGGTGCTTAATTCCAATGTTTTCAATACAGTTGAGAGAGAGAAGATAACAGATAACAGATAATCAGAGTTGGAAGGGACCTTGAAGGTCATCTAGTCCAACCCCCCCCCCCAAGCGGGAGACCCTACACCATTTCTGACAAATGGCAGTCCAATCTCTCCTTGAAAGTCTCGAGTGATGGCGCTCCCACAACTTCCGAGGGCAAGCTGTTCCATTGGTTGATTGTTCTCACTGTCAGAAAGTTTCTCCTTATTTTCAGGTTAAATCTCTCCTTGTTCAGTTTCCATCCATTATTCCTTGTCTGGCCTATAGGAGCTTTAGAAAATAACTTGACCCCTTCCTCTCTGTGGCAGCCCCTCAAATATTGGAAGACTGCTATCATGTCTCCCCTGGTCCTTCTCTTTACTAGACTAGCCAAGCCCAGTTCCTGTAACTGTTCTTCATATGTTTTAGTTTCCAGTCCCCTAATCATCCTGGTTGCTCTTTGTACTTTTTCTAGAGTCTCAACATCTTTTTTATAATGTGGTGACCAAAACTGGATGCAGTACTCTAGGTGTGGTCTTACTAAGGCTTTATAGAGTGGTATTAGTACTTCCCTTGATCTTGACTGTATCCCTCTGTTAATACAATTTAGGATTGCATTAGCTTTTTTGGCTGCTGATATTAGTTATTAGTTCCCTTTCTGCAAGAGGAAGCTGGGTGTCTAGAAAGCTGTCTGTCAGGGTTGTAGCTTTTTCTGTGCATGCAAAGGCCAAGCCCTGTCAGATATGCTCTGAGCTTTCCTTCCACCTGTCATAGTTTAATCATGGATTCTATAACAGTTGAGTTTGTCTGTGCCTTTAAGGTTGTTTCCCAGAGACAGATATGCCCATGGAGGGTTTTTTGTTTGTTTGTTTGTTTGTTTGTTTGTTTGTTTGTTTTACTGTGTACCAATCTATTTACAGAAATTAAGGAAACAACTAATAATGTCCATACTTTTCGGTTTCACACTTTCTCTCCCTTGTCTCTCCCAGAGCTATTCGCCCGTTGCTTAGCTACCAATTCCTTTCCTTCCCCCCTCAGTGATTTTACAGGGAGAGATAGAGAGGAAGATAATTGGCTGAGTTTGCTTAACATGTTTGGCTGTCCATGCATTTTCAGATCTACGACAGCCAACCCTCTGTGCTGCATGATGCAACTCCCTCTGGGTCCTTTGCCCTACCCTTTTTGCACTGCAAGCTCTGCAGTCTTTCATATGTCCCTGTGACGTCACTACACAGGTATAAAAAGAGCAAGGCTAGTGGCACAATATTGTTTTTGTAGTTTGCTTTCCTTAACCCACTTTGTGCTGCAAATGAAATTGTATTGTTTATACAGTAATTTTTAAACTTGTGCTATAAGCTATAGTGAATAAGATTTTAAAAAATTGACATGAACACAAGACAGCATTAGCTTCTGTTTAGGTGTAGGTCTTAGTGTTTATCAGTATCATGCTCAGTCTCAGCAGTAAATTGCAAGTCTACAGATCCTTATCCATAATTCTGCTCATTGCTAGATTTGGAGGAGTACTTCTAAATACCACTCAACTATGTTTAAAGCCTCAAATTCAGAAGTTAATTGCCCAGTATGGAGCAAAGACATCTGTAAGTTGCATATTTTGTATAGTTGTATACTGTATATCTATAAGGTTATTTCTTTTCACCCTTCCGAATTAACATATATTTGACAAGCTGAGATACATTTATGTAATGGTATTTATAACCTGGAAGTTATTTGTTCCCAGGTTCAGACCTTAATAGTGCCCGTCCCTGGAATGCTTTCCTCCTGGCTATATCAGTGATGAATTTGATACAATTTAGCATACAACTGTAGTTTCTGTTGTTATGCTACTAATACAGGAATCTTTTTACAGATTTTTAGGCAATCTGAAATTTTCCAATAAATTGTGCTGGTCTTCATCTAAAATGAAGTCCATTTCCATATCTGTGTTTAAGTGTAGAAAACAAATCAATTTCAGTTGGGAGAATTTGCAAAGTATTTAACCAATGAAATCTTTGATGCGTGTGTTTTTTTTGTACATTCATGAACATTCTCCAGAAGCTGTAGAGTTCTTCCTCATGCTAGTATGATTTAAACGATAGAGTACAGGTAGTTCTTAACTTACATGACCGGTTATTTAATAACCACTTGAAGTTATGATCCCCTAGAAAAGGTTGCTTTATGGCCATAACAAACTTCCAGGTATTGTAAAACACTATGCCACATCCCTCTCCCTCCCCAAAATCACATGATCACAGTTTGGATGTTTGCCTGCCAGTTTGCACTTGCAACCACTTACATGTGACCACCATTTGCAATCTTCTCCACCAACTTCCCCAGAAAGTCAATGGGCAAGCCAGCAGGAAAATTTGCAGGCTGCTGCTGCCTGCTGAGAGGATGCTGTCTTATCTTTGAGGGCTGGCTAAAGAAACTGCCTACTTGGCCAAAGGAGTTCAACAACTCATTCAGCAAGGTAGAGAAATGGAACTCAGATCCCGATGATCCAACCTCCATTCCTGCAGCCTGCTAGAGCAGTATTATTCCACAAATAGAGGGGAGCTGAACTTGACAGCTCTTTCTGTTTTGTCCATTGAATGAGCCAGGAGACCATTTAACAACCCTAACTTGGAGTGCCAGGATTACAGTGGTTGAGCAAAGCAGTCACCTGGGCATTTTGCTTAATGACTACTTCACTCAGTGACTGAGATTCCTGTCCCAATTGTGGTTGTAAATTGAGAACTACCTGTAGTTGGTTGCTGCTTGTGCAAATTGATTGCCCTCCCCACCATCTCTGCTCACTCACGTCTCTCCACTCATGCATATCCGTTAACCATTCTCTTTCTTTGTGTCATTGCCTCTTTTACCTCAGGAGCAAAATCATTGATTAGCATCACTTGAAGTGGTGTGGTTGAAAGGCTTTCTTCTCCTCTTGCCATCCTGTGAACCAAGTAGATGTTTCTTTGCTGTTTAACTGTAGTTGAGAAACAGCAATGTTGCTCATCACCATTAGGAACAGCAAGTGAAGGTTGATCTTTACCATCTTCCCTCATAATTCTGCCCATGATTGTACTTGTTTTCTCAGTGTATGAGAAAACCCCAAATTACTGGAAGCTCATATGTGGTGAAAATCAGGCTCTTTCTATTCAATTTTGTTTGGTTTAGTCATGTCTCAGAAAAAAAATAATTAAAATAGATGATAATGGAAATATAAATTTAAATCTGATCAAATGACATTCTAATAATACAATTCATAGAAAAAGTTGAATTATTATAAAAAATATTTTGCAGACAAGAAGAAAGCAACTAAAGAAACTATAATCAAACTCCACCCTGTTTTTTTTTTTGTTATCAGTTTCTTTGTGTGCATTTTTTTCTTTATTTTACTTGTTTACTTGCCCTTTAATCCAGTAAATAATTCATCATTTTTGCAGAGATGTCAAGCTACATTAAAAACGGATGTAGCTCTGCCTTCTTTAAAGGGGGATTTGTCATGAAACTTAATCATGGCCTGTCCAATTATTCAATACTATTGCCAGTCTTGGCCTCTGATAAATGAAAACGGAAGTGCTAATCTCCACTTTCTTATTCTCTTGCTTGATACTAATGTCTTTTTAAAAGATTAGTGGGGGGAAATATTCCTAGGAGCCCTCTGTTCCATCTCTCCTAGCAACATGTCTGGGGTTTTTTGCTCCTATAATTGTTTTTTTAATGGTCTGCATGAGGAAGAATTTACTATCTCTCACTGCTTGGATGCTTGCTAAATCTCAGCCTTGTTCTGTCTTGTTGATTTATACTTTGGTGGGCTTCTTGACTATTCTTTGCCTCTGCTTCCTTGAATCTCTGGTTTTACTTACATGGTTTTAAACCCAGATTGAAGTTGGACTAATCTAGCTGTTTCTCTTCACCATCTCTTTTGAGTCCCTAAATTTGGCACAACAGACTTTGTCAAAATGCTTTGAGAAAGTACATTCTTGCTTCTGACAGATAACTTGTCCACTACTGAATAGCAGTGGATGCACAATTTTAAGGTACAAATGATTTTGAACAGTGAGAAAAACAAACCATTACCTCACCGCTGCACAATTTCATTTTGCTAAAAGTCCAAAATCAGCTGGGGAAAAATACTGGATAAAACAATCCATAAGTAATATACATACTGCTTTGAAATATAACTTTTAAACCAACCTTTCTGGCTCTGTGGACCAGTGGTGGCAGAGGGGAGGGATGGTTTTGCACATGCGTTGCTTGCACAAATACAGCTTTGCCCGTTCACCTGCCTGCCCACTGCTTGCACGGCCGAGTTCCTGATGGCCATGGTCTGGGGGTTGGGGACCACTGCTTTAAACAATAATGAAAGGCAAACAAATGGTTCTAAAGAATATGCAGTTGTTGGACTTCTGGTTTGAGCTTCTTCAGCGACAGACCGAAACCTCGTCTCTGCGAGGCTTCAATCCGTGCTCGCCGCTGGAGCGCCCCAAGCCGACTGGTTTTGGGGCTAAGCCACCCCGTAGAGGTGAAGAGTGGGGAGACTGCCAGCAGGGTTGAGGAGAGCCACATCTCTCCTCCCCAGCTGGCCATCACTCCCTTTCCCGAAGGCGGTTGCAGCAGTGGTCAGAAATGGCCACCACAAAGAAGAACTCGACCAGAAAAGAATGTGCAGGAGGAAGATAAGAAGAGAAAGTTTTGGTTGACCGGTCAAACAGCAAAAGCAACAAATAAGGTACCTTGGAATTGAAACGGTTAAAAAACAATAACATTGTTCCCTAAGAAGATTTTTAAGCTGCGAAGGAGAGAGAAAAGGGAAAAGATTTGGTTTTTTCCTTTTCCTATACTGACAGCTAAGAGACTTAAACAAGAAATTGGAAAAAAATCCACTTTGACATCAATAGGCATTTAATGCTGAAAATAAAAAGTCAAAGGGATAATAAAGATTTCTGG